TTTAAATATTAAAGATGTTTTTAGTATAAAAAAAGATATTTGTAATATCTTTAAATTCTTAGATGATTTCTAAAATTTCAGTAAAGTTGTCTTAATTAATTTGCTCACTATATTTTTTTTATTACCGCCATTTTTATTTTTTTAATTTTATTTTGGTTTCAAATGATGAGAAATTCATATGGTTCTTGCGCTCTATCATCAATACTTACAACATAGAAAAAAAATAATTACAAAAAGATAGGAAAATCACATTTATATCCATCAAAATTTACAAACATATCTATCTCCTGCTCAATAATTTATTTTCTGACCTCTCTCATTCATCCTTCTCTCTTCTTTTAAGTAGAGCACCAAGCAATATCTATCATTTGACCTTTCCAAATGAGCTGGTGTCAAATTTCTAGTTCTACAACCATTCTCAAAGGTTTTAGCAATAAAAAAACGTTTCAAAAAAAATTATTTTTTGTCAATAGCAATAAAAAAAAAACAAGAAGTTTTAGGCTCTTGGTGTTAGGAGATCCAAACATTCAAACACACACAAATTTACGTGGTTCGGCAACTTGCCTACTCCACGGAGCTACTGGTTTGTATTAATCAAGCTCAAAAGCAATACAAACAACAAAACAAGGAGGAGGAGAAAACTTCTCAACTCAACTCAACTCTCACCCTTAGCTCTCTCTCTGTGTTTCTCTCTATCTCGAGTTTGACTATGATTATATCAGTTAATAAAAAACAAGAAACGTTTGAATACGTTTGAATAGTATTGTTTGATATTATAGTGTAAAATAATTTTTAATTAAAAATATATCAATTTTTTTTGAATTTTTTATATTAGTATATCAAAATTATTTAAAAACATGTACAAAAATATTAATTTAATACCTTTTGAAATAAAAAACAATTTAAAAAAATTACGAACATGCATTGTGAAATCCTCATGAGTAGTTGGATGGATTAAACATTCCACGTGTAGTTAAATACTTGTCAGGATGTCCACACGTTAGTGACATATTGGGACAGTGATGTTCTGTGCTTTGGTCACAATTCTTGAATAATTTAAGCTGAAAACAAGCCTTTTCTGGTTTTCTTTTTTGCCCGAATTGCGTGATAATTTGTACCTCCCATGAAAATTTCAGACACTACTGTTTGAAATTAGAGTATACAAATTTGACATTGCTGGCTTCAGGATGGATATTTTTTAACGCTCCATTTGGTTTTTCGAAAGGTAAAAATGGATTCGATAGAAACGAGAAGTTCTGGAAAAAAAAAAAAGCTAGTCCGCAAGTAAAGTAAAAGGAATGGAAGCCATTGATATCAATGGCATGCATACTTTGAATTGTCAATGACTCGATCTAATAAAACTATTCATTCTTATCAAGCACGGGCAACACTTACCAAATATTCATCTATGGAAATTGGCAGCTGCAACTTCATGGCAGCTCTTCGTCTCTTACTATGTTGTTTCTGTTGGCAACTTGGTGCTGCCGTAGATACCATAACATCATCTCAATACATCAAAGATCCTGAAGATGTAGTTTCTGCTGGAAATAAGTTCAAACTTGGATTTTTTAGCCCTGGTAATTCAACAAACCGGTATGTAGGCATATGGTACAATAATATTTCTGTTACAACTCCAGTCTGGATAGCTAACAGAAACAAGCCACTCAATGATTCTTCTGGGATTATGACAATATCTGAAGATGGAAATCTTATAGTTTTGGACGGTCGGAAAGAGATTCTTTGGTCGTCAAATGTTTCAAATGGGGTCAGTAACTCAAGTGCACAGCTTACGGATGATGGAAACGTAATCCTGAGAGGGGGCGAAATTGGAAACAGCTTATGGCAGAGTTTCCAGGAACCATCTGATACTTTCATGCCGAAGATGAGACTTACTGCTAATAGAAGAACGGGTAAGAAGACGCAAATAACATCATGGAAAAGCCCTTCTGATCCATCTGTTGGAAGCTTTTCTTCTGGTATTGAACCCTCAAGCATTCCTGAGGTTTTCGTTTGGAATGATAGCCGTCCATTCTGGCGGAGTGGTCCATGGAATGGTCAAGCCTTTATAGGAATTCCAGAAATGAATTCAGTTTATCTTAATGGGTATAATCTTGTACAAGATGGAGATGGAAATTTTTCACTAAGCGTTGGGCTGGCCACTGAATCTTATATCACCAATTTTGCTTTGAGTTATGATGGAAGATTTGGAGAAATGTATTGGGATTCTGCCAATGGGATCAAAGTCAAGTTTTTTTTATCGGATATTGAGAAAAAAAATGAACTAAACAAAATTAGGATAATGAAGGGCAATAAAAAAGTTAATTTGGATATTGAGAAAAAAATTGAACTAAACAAAATTAGGATAACGAAGGGCAATAAAAAAGTTAATTTCAAGATAAAATATAGTAAAGGTAATCTTTTTATAAGAAATGATACACTAAGGGTGAAGTTGTTCTTCGCTTATATAACTAATATTTTATATGAATCTTTGAAACCAATGCTAATTTTTAGGATACTTAATTCTTTCTAATTATCGGATGATGACTTCTAATTTTCCTTGATATTTATCTTCCTATTTTAATTTAGAGGAGATGGAGAGTGGCTAACATCCACTGAGATGTGACAAACTTAATGAATTACTCATATTATAACTTAACTTGTTATTATATGTTTACTTTTATTTATTTATTAAACTATGAAAAACTCATAATTTTATCCATTCAATTTTTTTAGAAAGATTTATATGCTAGGGTTGGTTTGGGTTTCAAGAGATATTAAATTATGTTGTTATTTGATGAAGCTAAGTTTCATTTTAAAAAAAAAAAAACTTAGGTATGTTAAAATTGAAGAAATTATAATTATTTTATATTTTATTTTTATTGTGATGTTGGAAATTCTAGGGAAATTAAAAAAATTTGGAATTAATAAAATCAATATCATTCTATATAAGTTTCATAATCATGTGATAATTGTTCTTAGAATTATCGAGATTCATTCAAAGGGTTGTAAAGATAAGATTATATTGAAGGGGCTGAAGATTTTATTAATTTCATACTTTCTAAATCGAAGAATATTAATGCATGTAAAATTAGATGTCCATATGTGAAGTGTAAGAATAAAAAGTTTCACTTTAAAGATTTTATGTTTCTCATAAAATCATATTAGAAAATATGGTTAGTTCAACTTCTAGTTTTAACTACATCTATGAGTTTATAAATGATAATAATAATTTTTACAGGAGTATAGTGATAAATACAATGTGAATGAGTTATACTTATTCAATTGAAAGTTCACGTAACATCCATTTAGATGAAGAATCAAATGTAGATACAATTAAGTTTCTTGAATTTTTAAAATATTTTGATGAACCATATTAGAAAAGATAATTAGTTCAACTTCTAGTTCTAGCAATATATATGAGTTTGTGGATGATAATAGTAATTTTTTATAAAAGTGTGATGATGAATGCATGGTGAAGGTTTGTGAATGAATCATGGTTATTCATGTAAAGATTTATGTCATATCTCTTTAGATAAATAATCAAATGTAGATGCAGTTAGGTTTATAGAACTTCTAACATATTCTAATAAATCATTATGAGATAGGTGTGTAATTCACAATAAATTGTCAGTTATTGCACCAATCTTTACTTTTATGTCATATTAAAAGCATGTTAACTGAAGAGAATATAAATTGAAAAAGAATTTTTATGATATAAAATCCATGATGAAACCTTTTAATATAGGATATTAAAAAACTGATATGTAACCAAACTTTTGCACATTTTACTAT